TTTTTTTTTTTTTTTTAAACTAAATATACAATATACACAGTGATATGCACACATGCTGCCTTATCTGATTATGAGCATTTAAAATACATTGTTTTTTTTGTTTTTTTGACAGATAATTTGGGGGTGGGGGGGGTGGGGTGTTAAGCAGTTGCAGAAATCTTTTAATAATTTGCTGCATTTGACCTTCATGTCCTCCTGCATCCACCTGAGAGTTCTGCAGCACCCTGTGCACCCCTACTTCCCATGGGCTTGTTGTAATAAAATGTTCAAACAGCTGCCTGAACCTTTTGAGCAACTTTAAGAGATGTAACAATGTCAAATGTCAAAAATATGTTTGTTTTTTACCTGTAGTATTGTATTTAGTTTCAGTTCTGAGTAAAAAAAATTATGTTCAAAGGCGTTTTATAAAGTGACACACACACGTGTTAAATTATGTGGTGTTTAAGATGAGCATTCAATCTGGGCCCACTCAGTGTGCTCTTGTATAGAAATGATGCAGACCCACTCAGTTATGTGGGAACTTGTATGTTCTGAGACCCACTAAAGAGAAAAGTGCAGGGTCTCTTTCATTAATACCTCTTTTCCACCCCCATCCTGAAGTGGATTGTGGTTGCCGTGGTTTTGCCTCATTCACAGACCGAAGGAGAGGAATTTCAATGAGTAAAGTGAGGGAGGCTTGTTGAGAAAGATGGGACCAAAACTTAATCAGGTTTTACGTAAAGAGCGTGACAGACAAAAATGAAAAAAATATATTTTTTAACACTCTTAAATTTGCACATACAAACTTAAAGATGTATTGCATTCAAAAGCAACAAAATCCAGTTGTAGCTCATGTTCAGAGTTTGGACGTGGCATTCTTCACTGGTCGAGGCTCCTTCTGCTTTTCATCTCACAAAGGAAACATTTTCCATTGAAGGAGGATTATTAAAGTACCTCCCCTGCACGGACATTTCCTGAAATCATCTGACAAAGTGAAAGACTGAGCATCAGAGGGATGGGGGTTAAAAGAAACACCAGTGAGAGTTGTATACAAGCCCTGCATGCCTGGTATTGTCAGTCCTGTCAGCTCAAAGAAAAGAGGTGTATCAGTGCACTTTGCCTCAGGGTGAGCAGTGATAGAATACACTGGGAAGTGCAGACGGATCATTTTAGGAAGCTAAATCAGGTTGTGTTTACCACAAAGCCAGATTTGCATTTGCACTGACGGCAGGATATGAAGGGAAACTGAATCGGAAACTCCAGGTTATGTTGACCACATTCATTTCAGGTAAAACAAACCCAGTCTGCGGTTAGATGATACTTTCACTGCCACTCAAAGGCAAGAACTTTATGGCTTCAGAGTGTTTATATGCATCAAGATGAACAGCTGCATGCCATGTTGCCCATCTCTTTATTAGGCAAATAAGCCAAAACGAGACAAAAGTGCAGCATTTTGTCCCATATATGTCTGCTCAAAACTGAACGTGTTTTTCTTGCATATTCCAAAGTGAAAATTATCTGGAAAAACCAAACAAGTCTTCCACTAAGCTCAGTTTGTGTACGATAAAACAAGGACTAACGTCTCCCGAGGAAAAAGTTACAAACCTTCCTGTTTAACCTATTAATCGTTATGAAAATGGCCTCTCCTAAACGGAAGAGAGGCAATAAACAGACCCAGTTTTCTGTTGCTTGTATGAATGTGTGTGACCATTCATGAGGGGAAGAGACCATAAATAAGATGCAAACAGCTCGCACTGGTGCATGTTTACTGATGCAATACATGCGCATCATATTTGCGTCTGTGTGTTGCGCATGCAGTGGCTTGCTCTGGCGTAACAATACACTCCTTCATCTTCGTCGGTGCCCTCCTAGAAAAGAAACCAGGCCTTTGTGTGTTTGCCAGCTTTTGAGCCTGGATCTTATTGTGGAGCCGTGCAAAACAGTCTGCTCAGGCTCCGAAACAACTTCTGGTGAAAGAAGAAAATGCTCTTTTTTTTGTTCAGAAAAGACTGAGTTAAAGGTTTATCATTTCTTCAACAAATGCATATTACCATATTTTCCGGCCTAAAAGACGCATTTATTTGCATAATTTGCATGCCCTGCGACTTATATGCTGAAGCGACTTATGTTTTTTCCCCCAATATTTATAAACCAATTTTTGGCTGAGATATGACTGTTTTCATTCGTTCTGACAGAAAATATTGAACATTACCATTTTCAACCGCTAGATGGCAGTCGAGTATTTTGGAATGCTGTTGTGTCATGTAATAGTTAAAAGTGGTTATTAATGACACAATTGGCTTGCCATAGCCTCCCACCTTCGTCCAGCTCACCTGGAGCAACCGTCATCAGCTTAATTTCGCTGCGCTGCCCCATTGAAGTGCATTTATTAAGTAAACTGAAAAGCTGAGCAAACAAATAATTGTTTTTAAGTGTTAATCTTGTTAAATTCTTGTTAAAGTCCTCCCGTGCACGCTCCCGTGGCCACCATTTGGCAGCCTATCGATTTTTGGCACAACACTGGCTCACGTTTCGGGTCAGTGGTGACGCATAATAGATGCGACTTATACGGCGAAGCGACATATTAATGGTTTTTTTCCACTTTATTAGACATTTTTGGACTGATGCGACTTATACGGCGAAGCGACATATTAATGGCTTTTTTTCACTTTATTAGACATTTTTGGACTGATGCGACTTATACGGCGGTGCGACGTGTACGGCGTAAAATACGGTAGCTGTCACATTTTATGCCAGAGTTTTAGAACGAGGTCTAAGCCTTGGAAATAACCACATGTGCAATCTGTGCAATATGTTGTGCTCATATGTTTTGTGAATGGTTCTAAACTACTACCAGATCAAAATTTATTTCAATATGTGTAACAACTTGTGAGTTATAGTCATTTTTGTGTTGGCTAATTTTAATTAGCTGTGGCAACTGATTTAAATCCAAAAGTTAATCAGCTGTAGATGGACAGCGATTACTTCCTGAAAATTTCATTTAAGCTCATCAAGACATTCATATATAGATATTTTGCTAGCAGACAGGGTTGACTTCAACAGTTAATGCTAAAATTTTAAGCAACTGTGCAAAGTGATAACTTTCTGCTAGCTCCATTAAAATCTGTCCAGTTGTTCATGAGACTGATAACAGACACTCACTCATACTAACACACAGTCAGGCAATAATAAGAGAAAAGAGGATGGACAGGCTTACTGTGTGTACACAAAATACAGTGACTCATTCATGTCTTCCTCCTTGTCTCCACCCTTATATCCTTTCCTAACACACGTTTTACCTCTGTTGTCATTTTCCACATCAGCAAACTCTCTTCTGACCCTGCTCACGACAGCCCTCCTCTTTATTTATATTAACATTTGAGTTACCATATTTAGGCCTGTCCTGATAAACAATAAATCAAAGAATCGCACGATACATGAAAATTTTCGACTTCATTTATCGGCTTTATCTTCGTGTCTCCCTTTCTACTGAAGACACTGGATGACAAAAGGCTCAACTCCGGTGCTCTTCACTGAACCGTCCCTTTCTCTTTTCTCTTGAAAATCTGTTTTAACCATCCAAAATTGTGGTTTTGGATTGTTAAAAGCAGCTAAGCTGAGAAGCTAAGCTGTGAGCTAAGCTAACAGGCCGACCTCGGGAAAAAACCTCCGTCTTGTCGAAGCTCCAAAATTCACAGTTGAAACCCGTGCCTTTGTGTAAAAAATTGTTTTTCACTGCAAAAAGATGACAACTTGTTTACTGTTTTTGTTTTTATTAAAAGCTTTGCTAAAGAGCTCAAATTGCACCGAGCGCCTGCCATTTTGAGAATTTCAATTCAATTCAGTTTATTTATATAGCCCCATATCAAAACAAAGTTGTCTCAGGGCACTTTACAGGAACTGTAAGCCAATTAGTAAAGTTCTCTATCTAAGGAAGCCAGCAGACTCATTGAAAAACCGAAGAAAGGAAGGCGAGACAGCCCATGTCACGTCGAGGGTCCTCCCTCCCATTTTTCTTAAATAGACACGCTGCTCGCTCCCTCACTATCCATCCTTCGGCTCAAACATCTTGTACTGCCATCCAGTGGTCAAAAAAGATACTACACACAAAAATTAACCAGAATTTCTTCTTATATTTGACAATAATTACTAATTATTGTCAAACTTCAAACAATATTATCGTTTATTGCAATAATTTCTGAGACAATTAATCGCCCAGCAAAAGTTGTTATCGTGACAGGCCTAACCGTATTTTTCGGACTACAAGACGCACCGGATTATAAGGCGCAATATCAATGAACAGGTCTGTTTTTATATATAAGGTGCACCGGATTATTAAGCAAAACAAAACAGTCAGATAAGTCGAACTTTATTTAACTCAGTCACAATAACCACATAAAATCGGTTCAAGGTCAATAAGCACAACCAGAATTAATACATATGGTGCACCTGATTATAAGGCTCACTGTCGATTTTTGAGAAAATTAAAGGATTATCAGTGTGCCTTATAGTCCGGAAAATACGGTAATCCTTTTTTTTGTTTGTTGCAGAGCTCAAAGCTCACAAGCAGTGACGAATCGATCTAAACTGAAATGAAACAAACCTTTATTTCTCTGTGACACAAAGCAGAGGTCTTCCAGTAAACATTACAGCTGCCAGGATTTACTGATTCCCAGCAGTCTGAAGTAGAAAGGTCCTCCAACAACCTCCCCCCCCCAAAATAAATTTGAAAAAAAAAAAACATCTCCTGCGTTACTTTGTTGACTCAGCTCCACTAGTCCTGTTATCAATTTACTACTTGTGTCATGGCAGGAGGCCCAGGCTTACGGTAAAACAGCCCAGGACAGATGACTGAAAACAGCTGGAATGGGGAAGGGAAGCAGAGACAAAGGTTTAGAGTTTAGAGATTATTAAAATAAACTGCTCATGTGTTCGATCAGACGTATGAAAGAGTCGCATGACTTCAGCCCGGTGCCAAGCTTGTTTTCTGTGACGTGTCTTTTTTAAAACAGTCAACTTAAGAATAACAAACCGCACCCGTCTTTAATAAAAAACAGGCTCAGTCGTTTTGTTCATACGGCTCGTAGGGCAACATGAGAATTTACCCAAATGGACAGGTTCTCAAACTTGTTTTGTGATTCATACAAATCGGTTGTTACATTGTACTGTGATGTTATTCAGTCCCACAAAGAAAATAGTGCTCTTTGTTCAAAATTATCCATTTATTTCAGTTTCTGTGTTGCCCACTGAGAGATGAAGGCGAGTGATAGTGTTTTTGCCCTCATGAGCCGCAGGAGAAATTTGAATGAAACTCCAGGAATAAATTAGACATATTCCTAGAACTGATTTGTAGCTATTCAGACGGGGGCCACAACCACTTGACTTTAGAAAGCACACACACAAAAGCTACAATTCACTTGTGTTTACAGATGTGGCTAAATTTGGTCAGGTTGTAGCTGAGCGATGCACAACACACAATCCAAGTGGTCCTCACTGTGCAACGTATTTGTGATCCGTGTTGGCAAAATGTGTGGGAGTGAGCACAGGCTGCAGTGCAGAAAAGGTGACAATGTTGAGTTATGCCATATTTGAGATTTGCATTAAACAGTCAAGAACAAGGTGACTAAAATCACATATAACTTTCCGTGTAAAGATCAAAATTGAAATAGACTATTTTACTCTGCTAGATGCAGCGTATTGTTTTTGTACCATCTCACCTGTCACCCATCTTTAAAACGGGCCAAACACCACTCTACTTAAATAGATCAAGACCCTACCACTATTTAAAGTTGAAGGGGTTTTCCCTTAAGTGAAACGGTTACAATATACACACAAATTACTAAGAAATGATTTAACATCCACACCTGACTACAACTTATACAGATAATATACAAAAACAAGCAAAACTTTCAGTTCACTTTAAACCTCAGCTTCACCTAGTGGTCTGATCCAAAAAGATGGATAATTTGGTCATTTCCTCCAGGTGAAGTCCGGCCAGGTTGCAATCATGTGTTAACTCCATAAAGCTAGCCCTCAGGAAGTTGATCTCAAAGAAAAGTAATTAGTCTTCACAATAAAAGCATAATTTCCTGTTTGTATCCGTGTCTGTACTTCACCTTAGTGAGGGAAATGCTTTGCAGCATCCTCACAGGCAGCAATGTAAGAAAATCTTGGCTTTAAATGAGCAAACTGGTGACATGTTTTAGTGCAAACACTTTTCCACAGAATGCATCCTGACCCACTGAACTTTGACCTCTTGTTGCAGTTCGTGAGCTTGTTTCCAACACACCCAGCTCAGAAAGGATGACGTCTTACGTTGTCGGTTTAAATGGGTTCATAAATCTTCATTTTAACTGCAGGATGGTGTTTGTGCGTTTTAAGAGTCCGAACATTTTTAACACGTGACTTTTTGCACGACTAAACACAAGAAGTGACTCAGACACGTGCAAACGATGGCTCTGGATTTGATTTAATAACTTCAAACAGTCCACACAATATTTCAAACTATTACGTGCTGCACGTCGTACAAAAACAAGCTCTTCAAAAAATAAAATTAAAAAAACAGGCATAAATACAAAATGATTTATGTACAAATACCTTAACAATCATCATAGAAAAAAACTCACTGAACAATTCTCAATTTACATCGTCTATATTCTACACAACACACACACACCTATGCACACCACCCATTTAGCGAGCGGTCAAATACACACACACACACACACACACACGTCTTCAAGTTTCGTTAGGACAGGACAGTTAGCTTATCTCTGCAGCGTAGAGGGAAAGCCAGAAAAAAAATAATAACTTCAGCACCAAATTTTTATTTGATAAACCTCTACAGATTCAGAACGATGAACGGGAACGAGCAGAGCTGCTGCAACTTTGGGCAAATGTAAAAAAAAAAAAAAAAGGAGTAGCACCATAACATGTGGGGGGTGTAAAAGAAGCAGTGGCCTAGAAAACTTGAGCAATAAACATACAAATTCCTCACTATATTCATCCTAAAACATTTAATTTCAAACAAGAGGAAAAATAAACAGTTCCTCTAAAACCCACTCCCACTTGCAACTCAGATGCTGCTTTTAATTAATTTGGCTATTTCCTAAGAAATACAATAGTAGTCTTCCGCTACTAAATAAAAACTCATTAGTTTAAATTGACTCCAATCACCCGGAGAGCTGAATTATAAAGAGAGCCGAAGCAGAAGGGGGGGGGGGGGGCCTTGGTTACAAAGTAGTCATTATCCATTTTGAATCACCCTGGTTCTGGGTCAGTTTTTGGCACAAAGCGCAGCACCAAACAGATTCAAGCCCTGATTAAAAAGTGTAAAGGTGAGCATAAACCTGATCACATTATGTCCAGGATTTGTTTTTCTTATGTTTGAATAGAAACAAAACGTGAGTTAAAATAAAGATGAATCACTGTTTTTTTTTTTTGGTGAGAGGTGAAAACACAACAATTTATAAAAACACACCTGGTTTAGTGAACTCTCCCATCCAGTGATTGAATCCTGGCTGTTAAAGTTGACATAATACAACACTGCCCCCTAGAGGTCAAAGGTGGCACATCCGGCTTAAGTTTAGGAAAAATAAAGACAAAAAGTCCTGAGGGTTTTTTTTGTTTTTTTTTTAAAAGGCTGCTTATGTATCAGTTCTTTTCCTGCTGATAATTTGATATGCAGTTTTCTGTTTCCAGATTTATTTTTATGTTTTCAGTAGTATGTGCCTAAAAATCCAAGAATCACTGCGCCAGCTCCCTCTCTAAAACAGACATCTTTACAATATGTACAAATGATTTGTACTTTATTAAAATAAACAAAACCAAGAGAGTCCTCCAACTGGCATGGCTAAAAATGAGCGATGGCTTCGTAATGTATGTTCTGCTCCTTTAAATATACATCGGTCTCATTTGAAACATCAACTCTTTAATAAATCTCCAAGGTCATAAGCGTCGAAGAAATCCGACACGCCCTCACCGTCCTCCAGGCTCCAGAGGTAATCGTCGTGGTCAATAGGTGGAGAGAAACTGACAAAGTTGGTGTTGGGGTCTGAAGTGAAGGAGGTGCCAGGAAGCTGGTCATCAGTGATTTGAAGTAGGCTTGGAGGCAGACCCAGCAGACCCTCAACGTCAAGCAGAGAGGAGGTGGCGGCGGAGGAGGCGGCTGGTGGTGCCGTCGAAACGGTCGCTGTTGGACACAAGAAAATAAAACAAGAAATGTTCAAATTAAATTGTGTGTTGTACAGGTTTTTATGTGGACGGTAGCAAACAATCTGACAGAGAACTGACCTAAACCAGACACATCTGTACTGAGAAGGGAGTGACCACAGGTGTGCGGAATACAGAGTACAGGTGGTATAAGAGACTATGAAGTGCTTCCAGTGGTACCACTACAAGAACAGGACTTAACTCAACTGAAAATACAGAACTGACAAAACCCAACAAACCCAAAAATCAAGCCAAAAATCAACAAGAGCACCATATAAGGTGTATCATGCACCCTTAGGCAAACTCTTATAGAGCAATCCATAGCTATGGTCCATACAAGCAAAGGCCTTGTATAACCTTTGACCTTGATTTGTGGCATTGCAGCTTGGGTGACAAAAGGGAGTATGTGACACGCTATGTAGTGGTGGTATAAATTTGTATCAACTTGTGTTAAATTATCTCGAGTGGATCAGAAGTTACGGTCTGGACAAGACCTTGTGTAACATATGACCTTGACCTTGGAGCTGGGGTGATGAAAAGTGTTTGTGACACTCCATTTAGTGACGATCCATATATATACAGGTGCTGGTCATAAATTAGAATATCATGAAAAAGTTGATTTATTTCAGTAATTCCATTCAAAAAGTGAAACTTGTATATTATATTCATTACACACAGACTGATTTATTTCAAATGTTTATTTATTTTAATGTTGATGATTATAACTGACAACTAATGAAAACCCCAAATTCAGTATCTCAGAAAATTAGAATATTACTTAAGACCAATAAAAAAAGGATTTTTAGAAATGTTGGCCAACCAAAAAGTATGAACATGAAAAGTATGAACATGTACATCATCAATCAATCAACCTTTATTATCAGTACTTAGTTGTGGCTCCTTTTCTCTGGATTACTGCATCAGTGCGTTGTGTCATGGAGTGGATCAGTCTGTGGTACTGCTCAGGTGTTCTGAGAGTCCAGGTTGTTCTGATAGTGGCCTTCAGCTCTTCTGAATTGTTGGGTCTGGTGTATCACATCTTCCCCTTCACAATATCCCATAGATGTTCTATGGCCAGTTAAGAACAGGGATACCATGGTCCTTAAACCAGGTACTGGTAGCTTTGGCACTGTGTGCAGGTGCCAAGTTTTGTTGGAAAATGAAATCTGCATCTCCATAAAGTTGGTCAGCAGCAGGAAGCAGGAAGTGATCTAAAACTTCCTGGTAGACAGCTGCATTGACCTTGGACTTCAGAAAACACATTGGACCAACACCAGCAGATGACATGGCACCCAAACCATCACTGACTGTGGAAACTTGACACTGGACCTAAAGCAACGTGGATTCTGTGCCGCTCCTCTCTTCCTCCAGACTCTGGGACCTTGATTTCCAAAGGAAATGCAACATTTACTTTAATCAGAGAACATAATTTTGGACCCGTCATCTGCTGGTGTTGGTCCACTGTGTGTTCTGAGGTCCAAGGTCAGCGCAGCCGTCTACCAGGAAGTTTTAGAGACTTCCTGCTTCCTGCTGCTGACCAACTTTATGGAGATGCAGATTTCATTTTCCCACAGGACTTGGCACCTGCACACAGTGCCAAAGCTACCAGTACCTGCTTTAAGGACCATGTATCCCTGTTCTTAATTGGCCAGCAAACTCACCTGACCATAACCCCATAGAAAATCTATGGGGTATTGTGAAGAGGAAGATGAGATACACCAGACCCAACAATTCAGAAGAGCTGAAGGCCACCATCAGAACACCTGAGCAGTGACACAGACTGATCCACTCCATGACACAACGCATTGCTGCAGTAATCCAGGCAAAAGGAACCACAACTAAGTATTGATGCTGCACATGTTCATACTTTTCATGTTCAGACTTTTTAGTTGGCCAACATTTCTAAAAATATATATTTTTAATTTGTCTTAAGTAATATTCTAATTTTCTGAGATACTGAATTTGGAGTTTTCATTAGTTGTCAGTTATAAACATCAAGATTAAAAGAAATAAACATTTGAAATAAATCAGTCTGTGTGTAATGAATGAAGATACACTGCCTGGCCAAAAAAAAAAAAAAAAAAAAAAAAAAGTCGCCACCTGGATTTAACTAAGCAAATAGGTACGAGTCTCCTATTGGATAATTACTGCATGGATTATCTTTCAGCTGGCAACAAGTTATTTAACATCAACTGGTGCAATGAGTTGCTTCTCATTTTTTAAACAACAATGTCGAAAGACACATCGTGTGGTCGTGGAAAAGATGTCAGTCTGTTTGAGAAGGGTCAAATCATTGGCATCAAGCAGAGAAAACATCTAAGGCGATTACAGCAACTACTGAAATTGGGTTAAGAACTGTTCCCTGTTCCAGAGTGATGGGTGCATCAGGGTAAGAAGAGAGGCAGGTGAAGTGATGCACCCATCATGCCTAGTGTCTACTGTACAAGCCTGTGGGGGCAGTCTATGATCTGGGGTTACTGCAGTTGGTCAGGTCCAGGTTCAGCAACAGCACGTGCTCAAAGAATGAGGTCAGCTGACCTGAATATACGGAATGACCAGGTTATTCCATCACTGGATTTTTTTTCTTCCCTGATGGCACGGACATATTCCAAGATGACAATGCCAAGATTCATCAGGCTCGAATTGTGAAAGAGTGGTTCTGGGAGCATGAGGCATCATTTTCACACATGGATTGGCCACCACAGAGTCCAGACCTTAACCCCACTGAGAATCTTTGGGATGTGTTGGAGAAGGCTTTGCACAGTGGTCAGAATCTGCCATCATCAACGTAAGAAAAATTAATACAACACTGGATGGAAATAGATCTTGTGACATTGCAGAAGCTTATCGAAACAACGCCACAGTGAATGCATGATGTAATCAAAGATAAAGGCGGTCCAACGAACTATTAGTGTGACCTTTTTTTGGTGGCAACATTAATTTTGGCCGGGCAGAGTAATATCTCACTCACAGGTCTCTCTTGTAAATGAGTCCTCGAGGCTCAGTGGGATTAACCTGTCTAAATAAAGGTTGAATGAAAAATATACAAGTTTCACTTTTAGAATGGAATTACTGAAATCAATCAACTTTTTCAGGATATTCTAATTTTATGACAAACACCTGTAAGTCATTTCATTATGGCCCCTGAATCCTGGAGAATCTCCAACTTAACCATCTTAAACCATCCTATCACCAGCAAACTGGTTGGTCCACTGTAGGGGTGTACTGCTTGGTGGGGAAAACAGTTTGTATGTGACTTCTCAGACTGATGAAGCCTTTCGGATGAAGGGCGAAACAGCTCTCAACAACAATAAAAAAAGGAACTGTCCAGATGACCTGACTGAACATTGTTGGATTTCTTTACCTGGATTACTGAGCATGAACTTTCCAACTTACTTTCCATAGGCTCCTCTTTAACGCTGGAACTTTGTGGAGCTGCTGTCGTTGCCGCTGGCGAGTCGTCGCTTGGAGGGTATTCTTTTTTAGGCGAGATTAGGCTCTCAACCGGGCTCGCATCTTCAAGTCCCTCCTCTGGACACAGGTACACTTCTATGGGGCCATTTCTGCTCTTTAAATAAATTTGTAATGAGCCCTGTTGAGAGGAGGCAACAAAAACAAATGCTCACATTAGTTCCATGCC